ACCCGTTCTGTCTAGCTTTGAAACATGAATTGTGATAGAATACCGCTTCACTAAAATAATTGAAACGAATAACTCAATAGAAATAAAAATATTCACATGTCAGTCTGTTGGCAGTCAGCATGGCAAAGGGAAGTTCTAGACGATAGTTCAAAATTTTCAGAAATCCTCTGAAATTCTAAGAAATATCATCGTTTGGTTTAAGAACGCTTTCCTTTTAATTTGACGGTCAAGTCCCACATCATCCTTGTATTCTCCTTGGCGGGTGAGTAAGAGCAATACAATGCCCTATTGACAAAATAAAAGAGCTTTCATTCATATAAACTAAAAGACACTGACAGCATCTAAAACTTTACCCAGTTGCACAACATTATATTAATTTTACTAGTGAGTGAACAATAAAGACACAATATATATATTATAACTCAAATATTTATTGCTAAAATAAACAAGACCCAAATTAAAAAAACCAGTCGTAAAAGTTTCTATGGAGAAGCATTTAATTTATTTATATATGAAATATATCTATATTTTTTAATGATTTACTAGTATCAAAAACATTACACACATTTTTAGATCAAATTGTATTAAAATAGTACATTATATAATCTTTTGATTAAATAGTATTTTATTGTAAAACTATTCTCTTAAAAGTAAAGCAGCATTAATTTTATGGCCTATGAGTAGAACAACGAACAGTTTCTACAACAACTTCTTATAGCTCTCTTTTCGATTGTTATCATAAAATATCATTTTAATATATAGCAATAAGTATAAACGTCAAAAGTCGTATTGCAGGTTTTCTAAAAACAATTTTTGAAAGGGACGATAAAACCTCGCTTATAACTGAAAAAAAATAAATTACGCTCGAACATAACTTTTCAGAATTTTCTACGACATAAGAAAATCCATCCATAACAGTTTTTGTATACTTGATGGATTCTATGAAAATATTCTCAATGATAAATCGATGTTACAGAGGTCAGGCGAAGAATATCTTATATTGTAAGGCTTTGTTTGAAATCTTAGAAGTTTATGAAGTAATATATGTTGATATTTCTATATACAGGTTAAGTGTTTAATAAAACTTTTTAGTCTCATAAAATTATAACTAATGATAAATATATAACATGAATTATATTTTGAAATCCACCAACTTATATTACAAATACTCATTGTGAGATAAAAGTTAAAATTTCATATAAGATGAATTGTTTACAGTTTCCACATCGCTCTCACCAAAACAGAAGTTTAGCTAACATTAGGTCCACTGAAAATATTTTATGGATACTGTACATATATATCATAATCATTTACTTTTCTCCCCAAGAGCACTCAACTATGTATTATGTGTCAAATATTAATATACATTTTTTTAAATATCTTTATATAAAAATTAATGTTGTTTAAGTCTTAATTAAAATAAAGTATTTAGTGGTGAAACGTTAATGAAATTGAAAAATCAACATTTGAAATATAGAATTGTTATTTAAAATCGAATACGACATTATAAACACTGCAACAGAAATCCTAAAGTAGTAAAGAATGACACATGAAAAAGACATGTATTTCATAGAACATAAGGTTAGAAATCACGAACAGTGATGGCAAAAGATGTAGAATAAGTTATCAATTTGTTTAAATTTATACTAACGAGCAAACTTAGAATCTATCTGTGGAATGAAATATAAACATGCTTCCCTCATTACTGTAAAAACACTATTATTGATTATTTCAAAGATACAAAAAATTTCTAAGTAAAGTATATGAATCGGTACAAAAGATGTACGGAAGTTATTATACATACGGCCTTTTAATAATAAAAGTATTATAATTTTTTACATCAGTTCAAAGAAAAATTATGATTAAGAGAAATCTTATAAATGAGTCATGACATGGCCCTATATGACACAAAATTTGATTTTGTGAAGCTTTTAAATCTCTGGAAATGAGTTTTTTTATTTACATTTTCTATGTTATTTTTATCAAATAATCTTATGCAAAATGTCATCGTAATTTTTATTAATAGAAGTGCATTTTTTTTCGTACCGTGATGGTAGCCATGCTGTGGTATGAAAACAACTGACATAGGAATATATAATAAAATTTTATTTTAAATTAATTTTTTTTATTTTTTTATTTTTTTTTTTATGTTATAGGTGGCAAACGAACAGACGGCCCACTTGATGGAAGGTGGTTACCGTCGCCCATGGACATCCGCAACAAATATGTTGCGGATGCGTTGCCAGCCTTTTCTTTTTAGGGATAGGGAAGGGTGGGAATAAGGAAATACAAGGAAAGGTTGGGAAAAGGGAAAGGGCAACCGGCTCTCTCACTCATCGGACGAAACGCAGTCATTACTGACTACTTCACGCCGATCTTCTGTGAGAGGGTGGTACTTCCCCGGTCGAGCCAGCCCATGTTCGAGCTGTTGTTACTGAACCACAGCTAGGCTCTACCACCTAAAAAATTTCTATTTGATTTATATCAAAAAATATATTTTTTTTGACTACAAATTACGTGTATAATAAAACAAGTTTGAAATCTTTTGTAAAAGCATATGCTGTCTTAAAATTTAATTTTATTAAACATTTTGATTGTAATCATTTAATTTCTCTCTTTAGTATTACATAGTGTGGCTAACAATACCCAGTGTTACAATTAAAAGTTAAACAAAATATTATTATTTTATGTGAATGTATGTTTATTTGAATAGAATTTGGTAACAAATATAACAGTATGAAATACTGTAGGTTTACGGCCGAATAAGAATTTTAAAATCTGCCATTCGTCGTCATCAGCCTATCAGAGCCCACTGTTGAGCAAAGGCCTCTTCTCACATGGAGGTTTGAACAATAATAACCCCGCTTGCTCAAGACGGGTTGGTGACTTATAATTGTGAAATTTTAAGTCCAGGTTTCCTCGCGATGTTTTCCTTCACCGTCTGTCAGTGGTATCTTAATACTCTTATAAAGTACATGTGAGTCGGAAAAATCACATTGGTACTTGTCAGGATCGAACCCGCGCGTTCGTGCACGAGAGGTGGGTCCTTTAACCATTAGGCCACCACTGACTTATCTTCCATACACTTGGTATTATTCAAATGTTTATATATCGGGCTTATTATAGGTACAATTGAAACTTCTCTATTTATCATAACAAAAATCTTGTCTTGTCTTGTCCCAGTAGTTTTTGTAACACACAGTCGATCAAAGCTGCAAAAGAAATAACTTGAAGTACTCCTGTCCTGTATTGAAGTGTACCTGAGAACAAAGTCGCATATTTTGAATGATGACTTAAGACTTGCAATCTATACGAGGCACGCGGCTCATTTCTTGACAAGTAATTAAAAAGAAGAGAATAGTAAATTCCTAAAAACTACTACTTACGTGTTACTTAAATTAAGGTCAAAGAATTTTTGTTACAGAAGACATTTTTTTAATTATACAATATCCAAACAAACAAAACTTATACTTATGCTGTAAACTCTAAAAAAGCCTCTCAATTAATCAACAGAGGCAAACGTAAATAAAATCTCACTACAGTGTTATTGTGATAGTTTGGTAGCGTGATAGCCATGCGGCGGCATAGGAGCCATTCTTGTTTACAAATTTTTCAAAACATTGGGATAAGTTTATCAAAATAGTATTTTTGAGATGACACATAAATAACTCTATATTTAATAATAAATATCTTCAATGTTTAAGGGACTGTATTGCAAGCAATCGAGACTACATTTAATATTATGATGTACTAAACAAACGCAACGAAATATTAATAAATGTTATTTACATGAAAGAAAATGTTGTAACAATATTTTATTAGAAGCTAAATTCTAAGTAAAATATAATTAGCTTAGGAAAAATAAATTAAGTTTTAAATCCACTTTCATCCGAGATCATAAATGAAAAGCCAATTTATATTGAACATTTAATTTATTTTAGAGTAAGAATAAAATCTTTTAAAGGTCTTTTTCGTGTTTCCAATCCATTAAGTCTCAAGTAGTTTCAAAGGTATTAAAGAATTCGGAGTAATGTCCAGGCGAAGGCAAAGATCTTCAACTTGGGCTCAGAAATCTCTCAAATTTTTCCACTGTGTGTTGTTTAAGTTTACTTTAGCTTGTAAGACATATTTGGGGTGTGTTGATATATACATGTTACTAATATTATATCATTTTGGTTCGATCAATTGATCGATAGTCTTGAAGATGCAATGATACTGCAAATAAATTTGTTCATAGAAAGCAGATTAATGTTAAGTTTAAAAATATACGGCCTTCATATTCTATCGAATAGCGTAAGCGCTTGTTATTGTTATTATATTTAGTTTCCTTCTTGATAACTTTAAGTTAAAAATAAAAATACATGATAAATCATTGAAATATATATTTTCCATATTATTAGAAATAACATGTTTGGTATTTTATATTTCTCTAGAAAAGGTAAACAAAATATAGAAAAAATAGTTTCTAACAAATTGTTCATAAAGTAATTAATAATTAAAAAATAGTGTTGTTTTATTTAGCAAAGGTAATAAAATATTATGCCCTTTATAACTTTGTATGTGTTATAAAACTGAAATGAACTTTTGTACAAGTCAAACGGTACTAAAAACGATGTTTAAGTACGTTTTATTTGAGTAACTTTAATTTCTTTATATGATTAAGCATTCTATTAAAAGATCAAATTTGATTATATTTATTTTATCTTCACTTGGCATTCAGAGAAAACATGTTGGCTTAGGTCAAATTACTTTCAGTAAACTCATGGGGGCTTATATAAATTACTATTACTTTCAGTAAACAGTAAAATATCTCAACTGAAATAAAATTATTGGCACTTTTTGAGCTAAATGTTAATTATCGAAGATAGTTTGTTTTACAATATTTCTTATTTTATATAACAATATAGTTTTTCATAAGAAGCATCATCTACTTCGGTGAAATTTCAATTCCAAATTGTAAATTAAATGGAGAAGTAAATAATAATAGTGGCTAATTTAATTCAGATTTGAGTCGTTCCATTTTCCTCCCCAGCCTCCTCGTAACCTTTGACGAGATTCTCCAAAATGAACCGTATTGTCAACTTGTATATATTTTCAATATTTGGGGTGTATCTTTCTCCTAGGGTTGTCTTGGCTGCTTCAAGGAAAGGTTGCTCGATTTTCTGAAAATATAGTAAATATTTTTAATCTCATCTCTTACGCTTATAAAATATTATGAATAAGTTATGAATATTTATGTGTTTTATTTTATGGTTAGAATGTTTAATTATATTCAAAGTTTTCATTGTTAGTGAGAATGTAAAAATATTAAACTGACCATAAAGTTTTCTGCTTTAAACCCGGGCACCTGTCGATGTGTGCCACCCACGTGTCTGACATAAGTGAAGAATGAGTCCATATCAGCCAGCCCTTTGATACCCTCGTCTAGTGTGTGCATCACCTGTGTAGCATGCTCGGCCAATTCAGCAGAACTGACTATAGCTTCCTTGGTGCGCAGCTCTCGAAACTTTTCAAATAGATGTAGAAGCTCTTCATTCTCTTCGAACAATCTGGATAATTAACAATAATATTGAGTTATTTCAGGAACATCTCCATTTCACATATTTATATTTCTTTATCATTGTAAACATTAACATTTATTTTAATAATAAAGAACAGTTCTTGAAAAGGCCAGTGTTCGGTTTATTTTAATGAAATGAAATAAACAAAACACATTAATTCAATGTTAGTATAATTGTGAAGTTCAATAGAGTAGCTTTATAACATTGGGAAAATTTTAGTTCATCGGATAAAACGTTTTTGATACATACATATTTTAACAGTTTAAATGTAGCAGTGTTATATCAACAAACAACGTTTTTTTTAATATCACTAGTTATATACTGTGTGCAAAAAAATATCCTAGTTGTGTTACTTATATGGTTTATGATATTTGTAACTGTGCGGTCAGTTAAGTTTGCAAAAGATATTATAATATGTAACGTACTGTTTATCTCATTTATTTATGAGAAAGTAATTATTATTATAGTTCTCAAAAACATACATATGCCTCAGGTTTAGGGTAAAACTTGTTTAGAGGACTTTGTGAGATTAGAAACATTAACAGAATCACAATTTGATTAAAATTACTTTTAGTCCCTCAATTATGACTTTGACGCCAAATTGTAAGGAATGATAAGGCCCTAGAGTTTCATAATAATTATAATTCAGACAATAATTCTTTGATATCCCCCTTCTTATAATGTAGTTAAGAACATTAAAAAAACTTAATGGAATTTACTCGACAACTTCATTGAAAATAATTCAAGTATACAATTAGTTACGTAGTTCTATTTTCCTCCTTATTGTTTGATTTCTATGTAATTTGGAATTGGGTGGCTTCCGGCCGGCAGTGTGGTCACTGCTACTGATTTTTAAGTATTGATCAAAGACAAGAATGATTCTATAAGAGATGTATATGAATCTCTGACGTGCGTGATATAGTTGGAAGGTTACATGATTTTAATTATTTATTTAGTAAAACATGGTTTTATATACTAACAATGTAATGAGTGGTTTAATTGTGTGAGCTACAGAAAAATTGTAAAAGATATTCTCAGAACAAATTATAATTCATGTATAAGAAAGCACAATAACGAAGTTTTAATAAATTAAATGAACTCGACATATGATGTGAACTAAAATTATGATTTAAAGCATTTTAATAACATATAAAAGTTTTAACAAACATTAGCGGACTCAGGTGTACGTATGTAAGTCAGTAAATTTATATTATTAATACAATAAATCACTCAACAGTCGCACCACATTTGAAACCATATTGTACCCGGGGGATGCGGACCTGGCCTCTAATGATATACATTTGTTATATACGTAATTTAAATATTATCATTATTTTTAACGTGCTCGTTTTTAGATTATTAATTTTATTAAAGTTTGGTACACAATGATAATTTGATAGTGAAACAGAATATTGTTCTAACTGTTGGAACAGAGGATGTATAAGGAAGAGGGAATTGTGTTGTTCGCCTGCCAATTGTTAATTGATACTTGGATAGTTAATCTGAATTCAATACGATCAAATCATTTTGTATAATTATTACATACCAATTGACGTTCACTTTATAATAATATAGAATTATAATAATGATATATTATTATAAACCGAACGTCAGATTATAATAATAATAATAATATTCACAAGATAATAGAATTCGCGAACAATGAAAACATCGGCTTTATTAGCTTTTGGCTGCATCAGTCAAAGCACCAACTATTTTGGCTTTTTATTTTCATACAATATTTATCTAAATTTATATATGAACAGTTGGACTATATTTTGTTCATTTCGAGTTATCAAGAACGTACACCAGAGTTTTGAGTTTCTTTAATATATTTTTTAATAAATGTATTATATAGTTCTTAATTGTTCTTTTTCAAAAAGACTAAGAATGTATGACTTAAGGTTTCTTTAAATATTAAGAGTGCCTCATAAAGATGCTATTACATAGTAAAGAAAAGAGTAACTGCTAAATGTGAGTTACATTTACCTATTATTACAATGAAACTACGTAATTCATGACAAATATCAATTTCATTGCCGATACTTTATTCAAAATAATTACTGAAAATTGTGTTTTATTGGTTGTATTGTTGTTACTCTTAGACATCATAAGGTCTCAAATATTTTAAAAGCATCTTAGAGCGGGAAGGCCAACATGTCCAATAAAAGATTAATCTCTTCTTACTGCACAAACAAGAACAAGCATAAAATAAATAGGTTCGGACCGTTCGCGAACTATTGATGACACTAAAATTAAATTAAACATTTGCACATTAGCTACACGTGTAACGGGATTGGAGACTTGTTTTATGAAGTTTTTTTCAGATTTAAAGCATATACCTCTCTTCTTTAGACTAGAACAATTAAATACTAAAACATTTTGTACATCAAAGTATTACTTCAAAGAATGCTTAAATAAAAATGTTATTATAAGAATTTATATTTAAAGGAGGTCATTTCTTAATTACTAAGGTTTCATTTATAATTTGGTCTTAATTAAAAAAGTTTGAATAGTAAGCTAATAAAGGAAGATCGGTGTTTGTATGTATACAATTAATAAAAAAATTAAATATGATATCAAGATTTTCGTGTGTATTCACTTAAATTATCTTAGGTTTTTGGATATTACTACGACTGAATGAAGAAGTATTTCATCTCGTTTATACATACGTGATCACGGATGTTGCAAAGAAACGAAACGTCGGGATAATGTACTTGTAAAATATTAAAAAACGCGTTGTAATATTTAGAGATTTGAATTTCATTTAGAGATTAATAATAATTAAATTCTTATTTTGCAATACGAATAAAGTCAATAGTTTAATATAAATTTTATTTTTACTAAATATATGCAATGTTTTTAATTTATAGACAATTATTCACATGTTTTCTAAGTTTACTATAGTAATATCTATAATCTTCTTTAAAAATCGTACATCATAGCTTAGACTAGCCCAAGTTTGACCCAAATATTGGTTGGACAGTTTTTTCTAGATCTTTTAAATCGTTTTTCCAGCTGCTACTAATGGTAGGTAATAAAAAATGAGAAACAAATAGGCTTTGTGCCATTTTCAATGTAATCGGAGCTTGCTTTGAGTAACTTTGAGTAACTTTTTTAATTTAGATTTCGGACCTCTGTGCTATATATCCTGATTAGTTTCTTAATAATTTAGTTACCTTGACTTATTTATGTCAATATACATATTTTTATGACAAATTCTTTATTTGTTAGTGAGTGAGTGAATGAGGCCAATTTAAACTGGCCGCGATTCATTAACTTAAACTAAAACTTACTTAACAAACAAGAGAATGCCAGTTTTCTCGACCTGTCTGAACACTCCCTTCCAAGAGGCCAGCATGCAGTACTGCTGCTTGGCAGTTAGAGGTGACCGTGGATCGGATGGAGGAGGTGGTTTCTCGAAAGGATCGTGTGAAAATTCTGAAGACGCTAGCTGAGACAATTTACAACCCATTTTCAACTTTATTTTCAAACAGCGAGAGTACGAAATGAATTTCGATGAGTTCGTTTATAAATATTAACAATGTTTCACGGTTCACGAGCACTATCTTGTTATATTTCAATGTATTACAACTAAAGCCACTGATGTAAAAAAATTTGGACTAGTGACGCGACCAGAGTATGTTTGGTTACTGAGAGGTGAGTGTACATGTTTAGTGATGGGAAAGGTGTTAAGTAAATTATAGTAGTGTCGATAGAATATTGTATGCATTTAGCTATAAGTGCAATTATTAACACTACATCTCAAATATATACTTTTAAAGATTTTAGCAGACTAATAATCTTAAAAATGTATATATAACTACTTATAAACATTTATTCGTATTTATATGTTAAAATTATTTTACTAAACCAATTTCTGTCCTTATAAAATTTGTTTGTGTAATATTTTTTTTTGCTTAATTAATGGTTGATCAAAGTATTTTAAGTATAGTATCATAGTGTTTTGAAAGACACCGTTACATATTTTACTTTAAATGAATTTATTTTATTACATTCAAATAATTTACCTAATTAGGAAACTTTGAAGATTCTAGCTTAAAAATGTTTTTAGTTCTCAATAGGATTTATCTATTCAGATCATTATAAGAATTCAAAAACATTTTTTGCGATTAATTATATAAATAATATTAAATTGTACGGTTTTATTTTCCACAGCTAATTTCATTAGTACATAAAAGAGATTTTTAATATCTAATACTCATTTAAAACCATAGAAATATTCAGTATGAGACTTTTTAATAATTTAACTATTTACCACTAAAGTATTTAGATTTTTCAATATAAAATTAATTTATTTAATACATATAATAGTTTTATCGATAGGATCCCATCACTATCTCCCATATACGGTATGAAATATTTTTTATGACGTGCACGGCAATTGTATGATAATGTTGCTATCCTTTTAAGAAATTATGGCAATCCACGTCACAATAAGGGACATATGAAGACATTAATATGATTATAAGCTCTATTACACGGTAATAAAGTCTATAGTAATAGATTTAGAGTTATTAGAACTACCGCTGATATAATCGTCAGTTTAACGAGGTTTGTGTTTTTAATGATGAAGAAAGTGATGACTAATTAATTTATTTAGAAAATCAGGTTACTTTCGATAGCTTTCGTTTTGAAATATATAAAAATTAACTCGCCTTATAATTAAACTTACATTATGTAAATTGTCGTTGGACTTGGTTGATAATCACACAAATCCTAGTTCATATATATGTTAGATTATACATATATATATATATGTATATATATATATATATACATATATGTTACTGGAAAATATAGTCCATATAGTTCGTGATACTACAAGAAAGCAAAGATAATATAATACCAAAAAACTTTGCTGCATTCAGTTCTATATAAAATTCGTTCTAAAGAATGTGATACTATCCAAGTTGCACAGTATGGTAATAGATAGGTGATAGGAAATAACTCACGACAATAATTTGCCAACGATTTCAAACACCAAATGAAACCATACCTAGCATCACAATACGCTATACAATACGGTACAATACGGTTAGGAACATAAAACTTTCTATAAATGTAAAGCATGATCGCTCTAACAGTATACGCAATTCATTACTAACATAAAATATATGAAAGACGTTTTAGTTACTCCGAGTACGCTTCCTATTTGTAAGGCGTACAAACCTATCAAATATTACTTCAATAGAATATATTTGGCAATATTCGTATATGTATAAATTTAAACATTCAATACTTTGTCGTCTCAAAAACACATACAACACTGGAGTCAAATAAATCTCTCCCAAATTCCCTTAAATGGTGGAGTTTGTATTGAACTGCGAACAAGCGAGAGAAATTACGCTTAGAATTTAATTGATAAATAACATTTAGGATAATGATGTAGGAGTGACAGTTTATGACAGTAGATTTGACTAAACACATTTACTATATAATATGTACATAGGTTAATTAGATAAAATAAATATGTATGAAAAAATACAAAGAATATAAAACACGATTTTGATATATCACATTGTAAGAGAAGTATTCTCTTTCTCAAATATACATTTAATAACACAATCTTGTATATTGTATAGCTTGTATACAAAACTGATTGATATTTTACAAGGAATTATAATAGAGTAAGATTTGGGACCTTGTTCAGAATGACATGTTGATTAAATGAAATAAAATTTTGCTTTTTTTTTAATCCCTAAAATAGGACATACTTACTGTTATGTAAACCACGTTTAAACTTCTTAAACAAACCATTTTTATAAGCTGTAATTTTAATTTTAGAGATCTTTAAATTTAAGATCAGTCACAAGCTATTAATTTAATTTTATGTAAGGTTTACCTCAATGTGTCGTCTAAACACCAACAATAAATAATCTTTTAACGTATAATATTAAGTGGATAATAAAAATGTTTAATGTTTTACATATAAATGATAAGAAATAACTTTTAAATAATATTTATTTAAACGGAAATTAACACTTATGACATCAATCTTACATTTAAATACACGTTGGAATCATTACCCGGTGAACTCCGCAGTTAGATTTAAAAAAATCACATTATAATAGTATAATAATAAATAGTTGTAAATTATGTGTGATATAAAAGTGAACAGAACGCTTACTAGCAGTTACATATAATAAAGTTAGTTTTCGAGTGCGGTTATTCATAACGTAACTGTGAAAATAATATGCTGCATCAAACTACCGAGCCGCTTCAAGGTTTATGATAAATTTGAGGTGAGCGTTTAACGCGCGTTAAATAGTAGACCTTTAAACGTAAACCTGGATACCAAGTCCTAGGCACTGTTGATGCTCTCCTTACAATGCGATAGACCCGACACAAATACGGTTAATCCAGTGGATGAAAAGAGATAAACATAAACATTTTTTAATGACAAACCTTGAAACTGACAGTTCTATAGTAACAATGGAAACTCATGATAAGATCTCTGAATAAATCGTACTTGAAAACTATAACACCTTTCGTTAACTAGAAATTATTAAAAGTAGGAGCTAGTGTTGCGATTGAGTTGTGTGTAGAACAAAAAATATATTTCCTTATTTATATGAACACGAATATATGAAAAACTTATTTATATTTAAAACTAATTATATGAAGGGGAAAATAAATTATTATATAATTGTAAAGTAGCCAAAGACATTGTTTATGCAAATTAAATCAAGAAGTCTTAGGGAAGATTAAGCTGTTTTAACATTTTGATACTGGAAAAAATATTACTTTGATGTAGAAAAATTATAGAAAAAAAATAAGAGTTTGTTGATGAAATAATTAAATAGCTTTACTATTGAAATAAAAGAAATAATATGGGTCTAAAAGTAAGGACATATATAAATTATTGAAAGTAAAATGGTATAAAATGTAAAGCTAAATGACACCATTCTTTTATTTCTAAAGATTCAAACAATGCATATGTACATTTCACGTGAATCTCCGTCTCCTCTAATCTAACTTTATTATGTAAAAACAATTCACCATATAACACAAAGACTCTTTGAATCGGCTAAATTAATATTTGTGAAATGGCAGGTACAAGTCAAGCGACGTTTATTCAATCACACAAAGAAAGTTCATTAAAAGCAGATTCCATTTGCTCAATTTCATTTAGCACATTTTCCTCATACAATTTATAGATCGATAGAGGATTAAGGCGATTGTACAATCAATCGGATTACATTTTAACGACTATATATATAATAAAATAAAACGATAAGAATTGAAATTCATTTCACAAATAATCTGAGTAAATTAAATTATGCTTAGCTTAAGATAATTACTGTAAAATTCCAGATACAATTTAATTAAAAAAAATGTTATACGAAACATTGTTTTTTAACTGTACAATAAATTTAAAAGAAAATTGAATAAAACCTCTCAATAATTAAAAACAAAACATTATTCTTATATTAAATTATGTACAATAACTAATAGTAGTGACTGTTTTTTATGTCGTTTAAAATATGTTGCGAAACTGCTAAGATATGTAACACACACTTATTAAATATAAAGCCGTGGAAACGAAGAAGAATTAATATATAAGTAATATTCATATTGACATACAGATCTATATTTATCTAGAAGCATCTAAATCAGAGCTTCTGTCTGTTTCATTTTCATTACATTACACTAGCGGTATTCCAGTAGGCTGTAAGTTTGACTACTCAAAGTATTTTTCTCTTTCTTTCTCGTAATGATAACTGTTTTTCAGAAAAACAAAGGCTGATTTAATTTTAAAACAAATTTAGTGCATTAACTCTCCAATAAATTCGATGAGCCACTTTAAATATCCGCCAATGTAACCATAATGATATATTAAAATAATATTATAAATATATCATATTATTTTATACATTTATTCACATTAGATACACTTACACTTAAGGCCATAGAAAGAAAAAATGCATGCAGGTAGAAAGTTCTTCATATACTTTTCAATGAATTGACATAACCGTTATTAATACACGTCAAAAATGTGACATCAGACTCTCGTTTGACAGTTTGTTAAACGGGTAAACATATACATATCTACAAAAAGGTTCATATTCTATGTGGTCACACAGAATATCTATTTTAACAGTAGTTAGGCATTTCTAAACTACACGAGATCCTAAATAACACCTTCTAAAGTCAATACTTAGAATTGACAAATAAATCTTTATTTCAGAGTAAAGTCGGCAGTAAATATACAAACGTTGTCAGTTCTTCCCCTCTGTTTGTATTAAATCGAAACATTGCTTTTCATTTATATAATTTGTATCTATAAATTATAATTCTTAGAAATTCCGTAGTATTATCAACGGCAGAGTGAATAGATTTAACTTCAGAATAAATAAAGTGTCACGAAATTCAAAATATTTAGGACAAGTTACAAATGTTTTATCAGTGAGTCGTTCACGTTGAATTTGTGTTTGATTTTCCAGCCTTCTCGTAGCCTTCAACGAGGGTTTGAAGGATAAATTTAATGGTTATTTTGTAAATGTTCTCAACATTCGGTGTATATCTGTCTCCTAATGTTGATTCCACAGCAGCGAGAAACGGTGTCTCTATTTTCTGAAACAAACATATAATATATATTTAACATCAAATGCCGCATTTTCTGAAGACGAGGTATTAGCAATAATGAACACATTTATTTGCTAATGAGATTACGAGTATATTGCTTATTAAGGAATATAAGTTTCCAGGAATATGTATTTATTCTCATATTCAATTAAGATAAATAGATGAGTTATGGTTTCTATATACATTGTAGTTAACATGAATAACATTAAATTAAAGTATAAAAATTCATTTATTTTAGAAACTAGTGTAAGTTAATATTACATATAGTCTAAGTATAGTTTCTATTGGTGTATGTTAAAATTATAATATTGCATGTCAATCTTTTTACCACAGTCTGGTTGTTCAAATTAGGTTAATCGAGTATTTAAATTTTATACTATTAAATTCAATTTATTAATATTTTTTTGATGTCACAACTTATATGCATTTAATTTTTCAATGACTACATATTGTATAATAAATAGTCTATTAAATAAGATGAAACTAATTATTTGCATTTACTATACTATGTATACGACAAAGGGGTGTAGAAAAAAAACATTATTTTAGCTTTACGAACAGGTTTTTGCCATCAAGGGTCCTATATTTTACCAAATTCTACTCAAAGATTTACGAGACCTGACTTATTGGAGTCCATTTGAGGTAATGAGACACACGCACAAATCAAAACCCATCGGGATTATGGTGTTATTATGTTATGGTGTGATTTATGGTCAAAGGAAAATATTGAGGAAAGTATTTTCTAAATAAAATTTAAGGGGAAGATATTACTTATTGACATTTATATCTAGTATTCAGACGAAATTCTTGATCTACTTGACTATGAAAATAGCAAACATTACATCTTTGAATACTATTCTCTACATAATTGAGATTTAAAATACCTAAAGATAAATTAGTCTATTTCTCTTCACATGACAATTTATGCAGATTGACTGAATATTGAAACTAGAGTTGACTAAAAGAATAGTCTGTGTACATTTGTTATACAATTAAAGATATATGCATTTATATATAGTTTAGTATTTACAAATTATACTTTTATGTATCGTTTTTCTTCACAAACCTGTTTTTACATTAAATATCTTTAAGAACCTTAATAATCCTCAACCTAAACCAGCTTGTAGCTTATTGATATGATATTTTTAAAAAATAATATTCTTTTTATATTTTATATCTAGTAATGTTTCAGACTATATTAAGCCCTCGTGATTGGGACAGATGCGGTGAAAGTGTTATTGAAAAACACGGGTTGAAAGAAATTTGGCACTTGAAGGGTCTTGGGTATGTTTTCAGATATTTCTCACACTGTTCATTTATTCTTACTTTTTAAATTTGACCTTCGAATATTACATATGGTATTATTTATAATAATTAACTTTCCATCTTTTTCATACGGCTAAGTATAGTTTTCTGCACACCATTTTAATTATTACTGAATGGTTACTTTTTCTTATCTTATCTTTGTAATTCGTAACGTATTTTGAAACAAATATCTCTCTTACAAATCTCTTAATTAACGAAATTCCTGCCAAAGATGTAGTCATTATGCGCGGAGATTTATTTTGCCTTTTCCTTGAAGTTCCTTATGTAATCAACATACTTTTTTATATGTATATATGTGTATCGTTTATATTTTTTTTTCTAACACTTATTGCTTATGTGTCTGGTAGGCTAAGATTATCAAATATTTTCTAGTAAGTATTTTTGCTTACATACAAGTACTGTTAACGTATAATTATGTTATTTCATAGACCATGATTATACAATGAAAAATGTTCCTAAAGCAAGCTCTGTATGGAAAAGTTGAGTATTTACCACTGTGGTTCATACTAGACTTCAATATTTTTTGTATCTATTTCACGCAACAATAGTCTTGTTATCCATATTTTTATAATATAAATGATTGCCTCGGAAAAATATTCATCCATATTTTTTTTAACTTTTAATTTAGAAAATATACCTACACTGAAAAATTCATCAACTCCACCGAGGGTCGAATCCACAATCTTTGGAATGTCGCTTTCCAATTGCTTATTTTCTTAGTTCATTACAAGTCTTACAAAAAAAAAATACCGTACGTGATACAATTAGTAGCTTCTTCGTCTTTCTATTTCTATGAGGATGGTTTGGGCAAATTTGTGTACCATAAAACTTAAGTCTTTAATACTACAATTTTTTTTTAGGACATTCAGAATTATTAAAGATTCTTGGCTTTATTAGTTTAGTATTTTTATTTTCGTATTATCGGGGATTTGTTTTTTTTTTGTAATCTTACTTAGATTTACATGAATTTAAATTTAGTTACATGAATTTAGTTACATGAATTTAAACAATTCGTGTGTTAACAATTATCCGCTGGATGCGGGTGGCACAAGACCGGTCGTCTTGGAGATCCTTGGGGGAGGCCTATGTCCTGCAGTGGACGTCTTTTGGCTGATGATGATGATGTGTGTTAAATTATCATTGAATAGTTTAACTTATTACTGACGATGATGTTATTGATTTTGATAAAATAGTTAAAACATAGACAAATCTTTTGAGATAAAACTGATTAAGAAAAAACGAGAATGAATAAAAAAAATTACGACTAGCAAAAGTCCTAGGCGACAATCATCTTAGTCATCAACTAACTAGGACGTTAATAACAATTCTAAAACTAATTCAAGGAATTTAGGTGCAACCCGAAGAATATTCCAATAGCTTTGACCGGGCAGAACATGACGTAGGTTTTTATAAAGACCCTTCTGAGTGTTCGAAAACCATTTTTAAGAGATGAAGCGGAGGGCTTCTCTTGACCAAAGAACCAATTTACGACCATTTTAAGATATAAAGGGACCAAAAGTGTAAGACTAAATCGAAATCCAGAAATATCTCGACTATGTTGTTCAAAATAATTATAAACGCGTAGTAAATCTGACAAATGTTAGTTTTATTTGAATGAATATCCTCAAAAATCTTAGATCTCATCGTATCGACTTCCGCAACATTCCAGAAACGCTAGAGGAAATATGTAGTCATATAAAGAGAAAATCCTCTTAATCTGCACCGAGTTCCCATGGTATCCCACATGTAATGTTAAAAAAATTCCGCGATTTTTCATCATAAATATGTACGATAAAATCTGGTCAAGGAAGCAAATCCCGGAGTGCTCCGCGTAAGCAATTCTAGTCCAGATTCCCTAAAATATCGAGGATACTGATCTGAAAAATACTAGATCGATAGCCTTAACAAATACCATACTTAGAATCCTTTCCTCGGCTCTACAAACGAGAATAACAGGATTTATACTTAACAACAGGTATTTTACGCCAAATGAGTAGAAGGATTTTTTTACCCAGGATTTCTGGTTGCGTAGAACACAATACTTTATTATGCTAGCTGTAAAGATGCTAGAAAAAGCGAGAGGCAAATTACAGTTTGACGGATAGACTTAGAGAACGCGTTCGGATCAAAACAACATGAATTAATTCTCTTCGCGCCACGATGGTATAGCTTTCCAACACTAATTTAAAAAGGCGTTTCAAAAACTGCGTTACAATGTAGGACTTGAAATAGGTTGTTGTTTTATTTTGATATTATTATCTTAAAAGATAAACTAAGAAATGACGTGAAAAAAGGAGGATATCAGTTCAAGTTTAATAATAAATATTCATAATCCATTTTAGCTTTCGGTGACGATCTCGCAATACTTTCGAATTATTATCATCATTAGAAAGAGTAAATGTTTGATATCATATATAAAGAAGTAAGTCTTTCGGTAGCCAGAGCGGATAAAAAAACACATATGGTGATCAATAGGTTGTGTGAGAGAAGGCACTGAGGCTATAAAACGTAAAGCCTTATTCTACCCTTAAGGCGGCTCTGTATTGGTCTATAATGATGAATACATATGAGAAGAGATATAAAGTTTAAAGCGTGTTAATACAGCCCTCAGGTTCCTTGGGAGACCAACATCCCCAAAGACAATGTCAACAAGATCAAAATGTATTATGGGCTTACTAACGAACACACTAGGAATAGGTTTGTTGTAAATTGTATGAAGTAAAGTGGGAGTAAGAGTTATGAAACCTAAATTTCTCGACCAATACACTAATGTATAAGTAAATTGAATTCACATTAATTTATGTTGATTTAATTATTAATATAATTTACGCAACAATTAATATGTATTTTATGTGTTCTTGAACTGTTTTACATTGTCATTAATTTTATAACTTTATTTTGCCATCTTGATATTTTTACATTAAATATTATATTAAGAACATGTTTCCTAGTACATATATATGGTCAGAGCGCTATGAGTTATAGCAATCTTTGTTAATATCATGGTTCTATTTCTTTAACTCTGATATAATTTAACCGAGAAATAAATGAAATCGTAACGACTTCTAAGATTTCCGTGAGTGCTCTTTTATATATCACTAAGGTTTATGGATAATACTATGCTTTTTTTATTATTTTATGAACTTTTATCTCGTCTGCCCATGATCACTGCCAGAAAATCATTCAGCTAGTTCCTCGTCTGTTAAATTAGTAATATTTTTACCCCAAAACGCCACGTATTACTATCACTGAATATTTATAAGATATTTTAGTAGGAAATCTCGAGATAAAAGCTTTAAACTTACCCAAAAATATTCTACTTTAAAACCAGGTATCCGTCGATGGCTCGCACCAACTTGATGGATGTATTCAAAGAAGTTGTCTAAGTCGTCCAAACCCTTGATTCCCTCATCTAGAGTGTTCATAACATTGTTGGCGTGTTCAGCGAGCTCCATCGAGTTAATTTGCTCCTCCTTCGTTCTATATTGACGAAATTTTTCAAACATGTTCAGCAGATCTTGATTCTCTTCGAACAACCTGAAAAAATATATAATTTTTAATGATTTTCAATTGGTCTCTCGAGCTAAGCAAAGCTAGAAGCTTGGTCTAAAGTCCAACCAGCTTGGAATTTGATCTGATTCAAATATACAGTCTATTAATTTCTATTCGATAGTACAAAGCTTCAGTTTGCATTATTGGTTAATTCTAAAAACATATAAATATAAACACAATCATGTAATTTAGTTAATTTTATATAAGAATAAGTGCATACATGAACTGTGTTTATATTCAATGTAACAAAATTCAAACAGTTAGAGTAATCTCACGTCTAAACTAAATTTACACTCGCATTAAAATTGTACATGATATCATTTCTCTTGAGTTGGTACAATTATTGACACGCTCTTTTTTATTGTAATTTTTGTAAAAGCAATTCTAAAGCATTAAAAAACACATGATTGCTTAAATGAAAGGAAGCTTTTCGGATACTACACGTTTTTTTTTTTCACTTTTATCTCGTCTGCCCGTGGTTACGGTTGCTTTAAATGAACCGAGATTTCAGGAATATGTAGTTAAAAAATAAAATAAAACGCATAGCACACGAAAACTTACTTTCATTTCAATGTACACCTGAAATTCTAAGATATAATTATCATTTTTTTTTTTATATTTTATACACTCGTATTTATATGAAGTATCATTTAAAATAAAATTAATAAAAAGATACACATATTATTACCATAGTCGTAAATGGTTTCACTGTACATCAGATGAATTTAACTTATTAGTTTTTCTTATATTCTATTTTCACATAAAACTATCTATGTTATTAGCCAATTGTAATAAAAGCTTTGTAATTTTGTCTATACTTAAAATTATTCCTTACCATCCTAATTGCTTTGTTATTCTTCATATCTTCAGGATTCTTCTCAAATATGCCATGATATTTATTAATCTTTCCTAATACGAGATAATGTAATATAAAATCAAATATAACAAGCCGCAAAATATCAGCTTAAAATTTATTGAACAACTTGCCAGATATACTCTTTTAAATCCTAGAAATAGGCTTGATTTGGTTATAGTAGGTATAAATATACATACGTACTAACATCAAACTTAAGGTGATGATGATTTAAAAATAGATATTTTTTAAACCAAGCTGTTTGTTTGTGCAAAACTATAAATAAAAGGCGTTTAAAACTTTTACTGAGCACTAATAATATCATTGTTTGTGACAAAGCAGGTTGTCTCGAGATTAAATTACTCGTATTTGTTTGCTTAGAAAATTTTTAATAGCTATATCAATCACTTCATGTTATTTAATTTACTTTTTCTTCTAAAGTGGACAAATTTTCACTAATTAATTAAAAACTTCTCGATATTATTGCTCGGTACGGAAAATTTTAAGTGAATTACATGAACGACATATATGTTGGCCGTACCTTATGAGTGAAAATACAATCCCAAATATTTTATGACAATTTATTTTCTTGTTATTGTCTTTTCAGTATTGGTTCGTTTAGTGAAATGAAATCGATATGTACATGTACTGGCCTTTTCAGAGGTTGGGAGTGTTCAGCGTACACGATTTATATAGTTAGCCAAAACAATGCCAAAATAAGGTAAAGTTAGGAGAAGGAATGGAGATGCATACTGTTGAATTGACATGAGTGTCGTTACTAAATAGATGAATTACTAAGTTGGAGAAAGGATGACAAATGTGTTATTGAAAAACATTTGTTATATTTTAAATAAATTCAGTTTTTAAGCGTTTTAATACAGATATCTATCGCAATTCATTTCACAAGATACCGTGGAAACACGCCAATACCTTCATATGAACATTTTCCAGTATGAATCCTCTCAATATTTCAGTAAGCAATAACCGTTCCAATGTCCAATCGGAACCAATTTGCAATAAACGTGGAACTGGTTCGACAAACGAATATCTCGTATTGATATTTAATATCTTTGGATGTCACTATCATGTGTTGCTAATTATAAATGGTATAAGACTGATATTAACCAACTTCCAAAGTAATAAATTTATTTATACGAGTATAATATTACCTATAGGTATGTAACCACAACTTCATTATTTGTAAACGAGTTTACGTAATCGTTTTAGTTTAACTGAAATTGCTTTTAAATTTTAGCGATATAATTTTGTTTGATTTACGAAACGATAAGCCAACAGAAGTGAAGAGTTGCTCTTCAAATATCCGGGGAACATTATAATAAAAAGTTATATCATGTATCTTTCGAGTTTCGATACGAATATTAAGTTAGGAAGTCAATATGGAGAATAGACTTCACTGGAATAATATTTTTCATCATACTTGGAGGAATGAAAATATAGGTATTTTATTCTACTATCTAAGATAGACAAAACTTTGTTAATTTTCGTTGTTGACTAAGTCTAAGACATTATAAATAGTTCTTTAGCTACTATGGTAAGAATTCTGTGATAGAACGACAAATTGCAGATTAAAAATATTGCTAAGCCAACGGCAACACATTTAAGGGTAGGTATGATTGGTATCTTTAGAGTTATTATTAACTAAATAACAGTTAAATTAAAAGTAATATAAAGCCAAATTACTTTAAATTCTACTCTGATTTATGATGATGATACTGAAATTGTACTAAGTGTATATCACCGATAAACAATTTTAATTGACTGATATTGAATTTTGACTTGATGAGATCTGGCATTCACGGTTACTCGGCTCCGGCGGAGAAATTTAGTATCAAACGTATATCAGATATTGCACTAGAACGGCTGGCCAGACCCAAATGATGATGCTTCAGACAGAATTAATAAACAATAGTTTAATAAACTTTTCAACCGCAATATGTAACTCCAAACCACGGCTTATTTTAATATGAATTAAACTTTAAAATATCTTGACAGCTGCAAAAATCTCATATCTAATATACCAAGGAAACTACAGCTACAAGGATTACATAAAAAATAAAAATGACTAAAATAATAAATGTCATGTACTTCCTTTTTTTTTGTTAATATGAAGCCCTGTCTTTATTAGTACATCTAAGATTTCGCTACAAACAAGCTCTTGTAAGACTTTTACATCTTTTCCCATTATGCTCATTATGTTACATTATGTTCCGTTGTAAGAGTAATTTTCGGCAATGAATACGTGACATGTGGCGAAGTATGAATTACATTAAATATATGAATTGAGGATGAGATATATTATATTTTCCATGTTATAAATACTATCCAGTAATATATAAATTACATTCAACCGTTCTTATAAAACAAGTGAAGGAAAACATCGCGAGGAAACCTGGACTTTTAATTTCACAATTATAAGTTTGAAATCATCAACCCGTCTTGAGCAAGCGTGTTGATTAATGCTCAAACCTTCTCCATGTGAGAAAAGGCAGCTCAGCAGTGGGCTCTGATAGGCTGATAACGTTCTTATAATAGATTCAAATAATATTAAAATATCAAAATAGATTCAAAAGCAAAGATAATATAAATCGACATTATAAAACTTTTACCTCGCATTGTTTCTTTTTAATGTCATACAATAAAAAACTTCAAAAAGACTTTTTGACTGCTCCCGTTTGAAGACATTCATTTATTATGCTGTTAAAATACTATTAACTTACAAACAAACAATTCTTTATATATTCAGTGTTATTTTTTCGGTTAGTTATTGGTTTCGTAACGTAATTGCACTCCGTTTTCTAATTTTAACCCTGTAATTGACTTAGCCTTAAATAATCTAACGCTTACTTCCGACCTCTTTAAAGATGAACCATCTAGTTTTAATTAAATCTCTACAAGATTCCAATAAGACTATCTCAAATTTTAATATAATTTATCAGATATTATGAACCTTATACCATTTTTAATAATCATTTCTAACCAATAAATTTTCTTCTACCTGGGAATTTCCCAGCTTTGGCCAGGGCTGCCTTACAAATTGTGAATACTTTGGCTAATTGTTTTTTACGACCGGAAGCCTGCCTGACATCAATCCTCTTTATGAATACATTAATCAGTGATATCTAAATACTCTTAGAAAGTACATATGACTCGGAAAAATCACATTGGTACTTCCCAGAATCGAACTTTTAACAACTAGGCCACCACTGACTTTAACTTTGTAACCAATAAATATTTATATTATTTTCTTGACATATTTGACATTTGTTTATTAAGTATTCATTGATTGCTTACTATTTATATGTGAAAGATGTAATATAACATGCTTATATGAATGAAATAAATTTATATTAATCTACCACTTGTATTGTTGAATCTGATGAGATACTAGAAAAAAAGTTACTTGAAATTCAAAAATAATGCTAAAAATATTATTTTAATAAAATTATTTTTTTTATAAGACGAAAGATTTAATTAACGATAACACTTTACAGCAAACATAGCGGACATTACTGTAAACAATAATTTAATTAGCTTTGAAAGTTAGCGAGTAAATAGAATGAAATACTTTGAATTTTGACGAACGATAAAATCGTTTATAACTGTGATTTAAACATAATTAAGGAAACATTGTATTTGTTATTTTAATTGCTTCGATTTATAGATTATATTTACGTTACGATGTCGTATACAATTATTTGAGATTGTTGAGCAATTAATTAGTTCGGTTATTTGAAATTATGTGTAATGATATCGATTTCTTCCATTCTTCCCTTATTCAAAAACTAGAAGGCGTAGGACGTGTTAATTCTAATACTTTTGTAAAAACATTGCTTACAAAATGTATGAAGTTCCTTAGAAAAATTTAGATTAAACAATATTGGTATGTACATCAAAATATTACAATTATTAAAACATTTTAAGAATTTCAAAAGAATGTATTTATAAGTTGTTTACATACAGGAATGAAAAATTAACATTGCAAGTAAACTGCATAACACAATGACTAAATCTACAATGATATCTCATCGGAATAATGATGAAAACGTGAGAGCAAATATATCAGCTAAAATGAAATAAATTTAAATAAACTTAATTCACAAACTGAACCTTA